TTTCCCCCCCCCCCCCCCCAATTCACAAGAAAGACACACAAACACAAACACACACAAAGAAACAACAACAACAGGTAACTATGAGCCTCAACAACGCACGGACGGGAAGAGATGATGATGATGGTGATGGTGGTGACGCAAACAAAAAGGGGAATCCGGCTATATATATATATGTATGTATACATGCAAGCATGGAAAGCAAATAAAAAAGCAAGCAAGCGGGTAATTTAAAAGGGGTTAAATACTTCAACACGCATATATATACATATATATATATGTGTATGTGTATATACGCCCCAAAGAAAAAACAACAACAAAGTCCAACTTATATATATAAATATGCAAATAAATAAATAAATATATATAAATATAATTGGGGTACGACATTGCGACTGAATGCACCCCCTTCCCCCCGCTTCCATACAATTCCGCAGCATCCCTCGATGATTTGCCTTGCCGATGGATACTTCGGTGTCGTATGGAAGTTTCAAACTCCAAATTGATTCATGTTCCGCGTCGTGTAAAAGACAAAACAAACAAACACAATCTTTCAGCAGGGCCTTCATCTCCTCCTAAACACGCAGGCACGCAAGAGCGAATGGCGCTCTCACGGCTGTAGGTGGCGAAAAATGAGGCAAGCTCGAAATGAAAGGGATGAATCACACACGCACACAACCAATCATACATGCATGCACAATAGACACGTACATAAATAAAGAGGGGAGGAAAAAAAAACAAACAACAAACAACAAACAAAAACACAAAAAAGGGTTTGAGAAAGAAAGACGTGTTATTATCGCTAGGTGCCGTACCGTACACATATCAGGCTGCACCAATTTTTTTCTCTTCCTCTCCCCCCTTCCTCTCCCTCCCTCTCCCTCTCTTGCAAGCTCTTTAAATACAGAAAACAAACAAAAAAACAAAAGCAAAAAAAAAAAAAAAAAAAAAAAAAAAGAAGAAAAGCAAGAAAACGCAACGCAACAAAAAAAAAAAAAAAAAAAAAAGAAAAAAAGAAATAAAAAAGAATCAAATAAAACAAACAAGCAAAAAAAAAAAAAAGGACACATACGAAACGCGGTTTATTCTTTTTTCCCCCCCCACCCACCCACCCTTCTCCTTCTGCTTTCTTCCTTCCTCCTAAATTTTCCTTTCCTTTGCGGATCATTCGTCCTATTTATTAAATAGTATTATATATTTATGTTTATAATGTCCTTTTTTTTTCCTCCCTCCCTCCTTTTCTTTCTTTCTTTTCGCACGCAATCACTTGTTGTTTCGCCCTGTTTCATTAAAAGTAAGGGTGTTTTTCTTTCCTTTCCTTCTTTTATGTGCGCCACAGGAGCCACCAAAGTCTTTTTTTTTTTTTTTTTGTCCTTTAAATTTACTTCTGCGCATTCTTCTTTTATGCCATTCGCTTTGGGCATATTTGCCCCACCCACTCATTTTCCCCTCGGACGGAGAAAACATGGCCGCTACACCACCACTTTGTCTTTGCGTTCCGCCTGGCTAATGCCTCCTGCAACGACTCGGGATGCATCACCCCCGTCACCTCCCGCCGTCGGCACGGTATTTTTGCTGTTTTCACTGACACTAAGGTGGTTAAGACCACACGCGCCGCTGCCACCTATCCCGATAAGCTGTTTCTTGGATGACGCCTCCACTCGGCTGTTGTGCTCCATGGGCCCAATGCCTTGAGAGCACGACGCTCCCTGAGAAACATTGGCAACCCCATTTACTCCAGGCTCCCTGGCATCTATGATATGTTTTTGAATGTTTGACTGCCTATCAGTTCCCAATGGATTTGTAGCAGGAGGGTTTTGGGCGTTGCTACTGTAGTTGCTGGGAGTATCCTGATAATATTGCGTGGTTGATGACTCCGGAATCGCCTTCTCGTCTGGTACTCCCCCTGTTGATGCATATCCACGATGTGCAGACAAATTTCGGCAATAGTAGGAATTGGATGGCTGCAGCAAACGGGCATAATCTCCAAATTCCTCTGGCGATAAGAAGAAATCAAACACCAGCCGCTTGATAAACGCTTCTTCCAAAAGGTTCAATGATTTCGTGTCAAGTCCAAAAACTTCCGCGAAGTGGCGGTTGTTAATACTACGCAATTCCAGGGTCTTGGATGCGACGCGAACGGAGGTCAAGAAAAGCCTTAATATGTTCTTTTCCGTGATGATTAGATTCGGGTGGCGCAGGCATAGGCGATCAAGGTAGATGATAGCCCCAAGAAGGGACGAGGGGGAGATGAAGGTGTACTCTGCAGTGCGATGCACAAAATCGTGAAAGGAAACTTGTGGATGTAATCCTTGTTGCTGAAATATAATAAAATTGGCGTCCTCCTTGACGAGTTGGGCGAGCTTCCGGTTCCGCTCCACAACGGCCTGCAGGGCATTCGCAATGGACGGCACAATCTGACTGAACTCTGGGGCATATTTGTCACGAAGAATTTCTATTTCACTCGGTGACTCACTCGGACGCAGACTGGACGTGCCCAAGTGCAGTGGCCGTTCACACGGTGACATGGTGAAGGGTGCCCGCCTGTTGCGCGAGGTCAAGGCCACGTCACGGAGATTCTCGCCGGAGCCGTTGACCAAAAAGTGCAGCGTCTCAAAGAAGAAAGTACGTCGGTCCGGCTTGTACTTCCGCGCAGGAAAAAGATACGACGTTGGTCGTGGCTCCGTCCCAAACTTTTTTGTCAGTAGCTCAAACACAACCTCCGGCTCCGTAACCAACGTTTCATGGATTTCTTCCCCCAGAACGGACTGAAGGCACTCCCGTACGCTTTGGTCGCTAAGATGATACTTGTAGCGGTAGGCCAATAAACGGTGCCGTGCAGAGACGCTAGAGCACTCGGGTCCAATCTCCAAATTGGCCCTGCGCATAAGTTCCTCCTCCCTCGATGCGTACTTCTGCAGCAATACGCCACTCTGTCGCCACTCCGCACTCCCTTGTTCTGGGTACAACGCAAGAAGGTTCTCTAAGCGTCGAAGATAATAATCGGGATCCACAATCAGCCGCATGTGTTGATAAATCTCCACTTCTGAAAACCCTTCAAGCAACATGGCAGCCACATCCAGCTTCTCCAGAGCTTGATTATTGCCACAACTGACGAGGTTACGATTCTTGTCCTCGATGAGGCGTCCAAGCACAGATTCCTTGTCGTCATTTGGATTCACTGAGACGGAGAGTATGACGCCGCCTACACTGAGACCAACAACGCGTGTGACGGTCTTCTTCTTTCGGACCTCCTCGATTGCCATTGAAAAAAACCCGGCGCCATCGGAGTGTGTGTCTGCACTTTGACCGACCGTGATACATCGCAGCACGGAGGATCCTATGCGATGCTGACGAACGCCAACCATGACATCAAGAGTTGTTGAGAGACCAAGCGTACAAGGGTACTGCAGCAAAATTTGATTTCCATGAATCATATTTCTTTTTGTGTCATTGTTGCTCGTTTCGTTGTCGCTGTCGTCCTCTTCGTTTGTCTCTTCCCCTGCCGTTGGGTACCACCGTCGCCACGGTGAGGTACGCGGCGAGATCGACGGCAGCGCACATTTTGGGCTCGCGTAGGGCGTCGTGATGTTACCCAAATCCAAAATAAAACGCTCGCGTTTGAACAAAATGGAAGAGGAGGAAAATGGCATCACGCTCTCGCCCAGCGGCAGTAATTTCACGCGCCGCCCCCGGTAGTTGTAGTTGACTACAGGCTGCACGAAAAGCTCAAGCTGCTCCCGCCGCGGATCCAGTTGCTGCATCTCCCGCGGTAGGTCATAGATGGCGTGAATTGTGAGAATTACCTGTTCGATAGGCATCCCGGCCGCGCTGGTCCTGTTGCCGCAGTCACCCAACAAGAAATCTCTTACGCGTATGCGTGTATGCTCAACAACAACAACAACAAAAAAGAAGATCGCAAAGAAAAGGTACAAAAAGACAAAACAAGACAAAAAAAAAAAAAAAAAAAAAAGAAAAAAAGAGCAAGCAAACAAAAAACAAAAGAAAAGAAAACTAAAAAAGTTCCTTTGCGCTGAAACTGTACTGTCTATATGTATGTATATATATATATATATATATATTTACTTATTTATTAGATATGTTACAATGCGTGTGTGTGTGCGCGCAGTGTACACGGCAGCCAATTGTTGTGGGCCTGCACTTTGTGGGGACTTGCCTTTTCTTCTCTTCTTCCCTTCGCTCTGCGGGCAGAACACACACATGCATGCATGCACACGCACACAAAAGAAAAAAACAACAACAACAACAAGAAAGAAGAAAGAAGAAAGAAGGAAGGCAAAGTGGGGAAAAAAAGCGCACGGCGCCGAGGCACACAAAATGGGGGAAGAAAAGTCGGCAACAGGCCTGCAGCCACGCAGAGAGAAACAGAGAGAAAGAAAGAAAGAAAGGAGGCATGAGGCAGAGAAAACAGGCAAACAAAAAAGCAAACAACAACAAAAAAAGGGAATAAAAAAAAAAAAAAAAAAGCGCACGCAAAACAAAACAAAAACAAAAACACAAAAAAAACAAAAACACAAAACAAAAAACAAACAAAAAAAAAAAAAAAAACGCCTCTTCTACAAGAATTATTCCACTTCGGGGAGAAACACAAAAGTAACGGTGCGTCTCTGCGAGTGTCGCCTCCGCAGCGGCGGCACGCCTCCCCCTCCCTCCTCAACCCCTTCGTAGCGGTCCCACCGCACAGCGCTGCGGGTGAAGGCAAATCAACGTGCTTACCGAAGCTGTAAAAACCAAAAAAGTCCTACAAACAACAAAAACACAAACAAAAGAAAAACACGCACACACCCAGACAGACAAAAAAGTACAGGAAAAAAAAAAAGGAAAAAGAAGGAAAAAGAAGAAGAAGAAGAAGAAAAAAAGAAAAAAAAAAGGCAAACCACTCACCAAAGACGGTGAACATGCATGCGTTCCACCGGTATCACTCGATTGAGAAAGCAAAACAAGAAGGGGTTGAGTGGGAAAGAAAAGCAAAAATAGCAACAAACACTTGTACGACACGCATACTTGACCGGCAATTGGGACCTGCAGTAAGTACATTCATACAAATAAATATATTGTATGCATGCAAGGGTGGTGACATGAAAATAAATGGAAGGGGCTTACAACACCAACACCAACAAAAAAAGAGAGAGAAAAAAGGCAGCATTCGTGTCTCATGTATGCATGCATGCATGTCACCTTCTCTCTCTCTCTTTCTCTCTCTCTCCTTCCGCCTGGTTTCTTCCCCCCTTTTCCCGCAGTGTCTCCCTATCTTTGCTGAATTATTTACTCTTTTATCTTACTCATTTCCTTCCCCCATCCCCCATACAAAACACACACAAACACACAGACAGACAGAGACTGAGAGGGACAGGTAGATGAAACCAAAAAACAAAAAAACAAAAAAAAAAAAAAGAAAGGTTTTACGAGTGAATAACCCCCCGTCCACCCACACGCACATGCACGTTGTGTCGGCAAGTGGGCTGGTGGATGCCCACGCAGTACGTCTGGGAATAACAACAACAACAACAAAAAGGAAAAAAAAAAAAAAAACGTACGAGTATGCTGAACAAAAACAAAACAAAAAAAAAAGAAAGAAGAAAAAGAAGAAGATGCAGTTTGCTAGCGATGAACGCCGTACTCATCCGAAACAACAAATCCACAGGGAGTGGAGGAAAGAGGAGAAAAAAGAAGAAGTTGGAGGGTTGGGGAGGAGGGCGGAGGGGAGCGCGCACGTAAAACAATAAAAAAAAGGAAAAAAAAGGAAAAAAAAGGAAAAAAAAGAATATTCTTCTTCTTGTTGCTGCTGCTCGCTGCTGAGGTGCGCTGAGAATACAAAACAGAAAAGAACAGAACAGCGATCACAGCCAAAACGGGGACAACAAAAGAAGAAAAGCAAAAAAAAGAAAAAAAAGAAAAAAAAAGAGAAAACCCTCCCCTCTCCAACACCACCAGACACACAGCCACAACCGCGACAGGGCAGAAGTGAGTGAGTTGCCGCAGAAGAGGAGGGTACGCGGCGGGTAGGGGCGGACGGAGTGTGCGCCAGGCCGAAGCCTCCATCCCTCCCTACCTGCCTTTTGTTTTTTTTGTGTGTTTTCTTCCAGCAGTAAACAAAAACAAAAACAAAAGCAGCAGAAAAACCAATCGACAAAAAAAAGGATAAAACGACCGTCTTTCTCGGAATACCCGGCATATGAAACAAAAATAAAAATTTTCATCCAACGCTCGCACAGAGAAAGAGAGAGAAAAGAAAAGAAAGAAAAAAAAAGAAATTATTTCTTACAGCAATCCAATGAAAGCCGGGCTTGTTTTTGGACTCACAAGGCGGCAGTCGGTCCCCTTTTTTTTTTTTTTTTCTTTTCTTTTCGTGTGAATCCCGCCCTACTGCCGGATTCTCTTCTCATTTGTCGTGTGGAGTAAAATTCGCGGGTCTCGTCGTTGCACAGAAGCAGTTTTTTTTTTTTTTTTTTTTTTTTTCGGGTGGTGGGTGGTGTTTTAGGGAATGGCAGAAGGGAGATGTAAACTACATCCCCCCTCCCCCTTTTCCCTCCACTCTTTCCCCTAGAATAATAATAAAAAAAAAAAAGAAACAACACAACAACACAAACACAACAAACCGAAAGGAAATGCGCTCGCTCTGCCAGGAAGTCTCGTTGGAAAATAATCGATGAGCAATTAAAACAATCAGCATGGAAAAAAAAACAAAACAAAAAGGAAATTCCCCTCCCTCCCCCCTCTTCCGCCCCGTTTGTTGGCCCTGTCGGGTCGTACCGCATCCCTTCCTCCCCTCCGCCTTTCCACAAGAGTTCTGCGGGGATGTGAACAACCGCCGCAGTACCGTGTACGTATAAATATATAAATATATATTTAAAGCAGAAACAAACAAACAGAAGGAAAGAAGAAAAAAAGAAAAAAGAAAAGAAAAAGAAAAGAAAAAACCATCGATTATTCTTTTTTTTTTTTTTTTCTTTCATTCTTTTTTAAATGGTCCTAATAAATATGCGCTTCTGTTCCTTTTCCTGCGTTGCCGTAGAGGACGAACGATCGGCACTGGGGATTTTGTGTGGGAGGGAGGGAGAGAGGGGAATGCGTGGCCGCCCAAAGTCACACGCACCCCC